AAACGTTTATAGCCCCGGCCTGTATTAGAGACCGGCCATTATTTACCTCCTCTGACAGCGAGACCGGCCATTATTAGAGACCCGGCCGCTATTGGAATACAGGCCAATATTAGAGAATTTACGGTATATATATATATAGACACACACATACATACATACACATATACATGTATACACACACATATATATATATACATATATATGTAATTATATATATAAAACCTTTTCAAATGGCATATAGCTAAAAACACATCAGCTGACTTAAGGCTGCTGCTCTGTCAGCTGATGCCAGTGGTCATGTGGATATGTGAAGTTAATCCAGACCAGTAGTTCACATGGCACAACTATGTAATCTTGTTAATCTTGGAAATAAAGCTTTTATCTTGCAGCATCTGCAAGTGCATAGAAATAAGATACCAATAATATCTTTAATGTGAAATTATTTGTTTTAAACCATAAAACACCCAGAGTTAAATTAGAATCTGTGGGAGATCACATAAACGTGACTATAAAATAAACCAGTCTAATGTCAGAGCAAATCTGAGCGCAGAATATCTATGAATGAAAAGTAAATATTTAAAGAACCACATAAAGGGTCCTTTATTTATTCTGTAAAGCAACATCTCACATTGAACAGTATCAATCAGCCATAAATTTGAAGTTTTTTTTTTTTTTTTTTAATGTAGCAATAGTAAAATATAGTCAAAATAATTATTTGAAGATTCATATCATTCAAACAGAGAAAACCACTAAACCCTCTTCAAAATAATTGTAATAAATTTTTAATCTATAAAGTTGTAGAGACCTGTTCTCGCGTTCTGTGACTTTCTGCCCATCACAACAGACGAGGAACCATTTTTATCTTGCTATTGAAGTTAGCAGAATGAAGTAAGATGTAAATTTAAAAAATTAAAAGAAAACTTTAAGGATACAAAACTAAAGGTTTACATTTGGGGTCACTAATTTTCCATAATGACCATCAGACACCAGCTACATCCACGCTGGTTGCCTTGGATTAACCAGAAAATTAAAACAAGCTCACCTTCCATTAAAAAAGTAAACATGTGGAGTCTGCTACCAGTCTTCTTGGACTTAACCATGAGCCATTTCTATGGAACAGAGGTTTGGTGGCAAAGCATCTCATTAATAGTTTAATACACTGAAGGATCTGTGGGAATATTAAGAGTCTAATCTGGTCTTGTTTAGGTAGAAAAAAGGTCTGGAATTATTGTGGATTTGTTGCCTTAAAGACAGGAATGCATCTTCTAATTTTTTGGGGGGATAAGATTTATATTTTTCACAGAATATATATATTTTTTGGCTTGAAGCAATAGAGACAATACATTGATGCACCCAAATCTGTTTTAGGAGAAAAATTGTAGATATATCTGATCCTGTTTACTCTAAAAGTAAAATAACATAATATAACCCAAAGTTTTGAACACCCAAATATGATTGGGTTGCACTTAATGTTTCCCTATTAAACAACATTTAGAAGCTTGATCTAAACATTTTTCTGCTAGCAGGCAAAAATTGCTCTATTTCCAGATTCCGGAAAGAGGCCAGAAAAAAACCCTTCAAATGACTGTGAAAAGGTCCCTGAAGAAAACATTAAAAACCTGGTTAAAAAGAATCTCAGCACTTCAATATAGGAGAAAAAAATAACCTTATACAAGATTTTAGCATTTTCTTTTGCAGTTAAAACATCTAAAATATATTTTCCAATTTAGAAACATAAAAGTTTCAATAAGTTTTTAATAAATCTATTTTGTGTCACATGACACTACTTCCTTTAAAACTGCAAGGAAGGTATTTTTGTGTTAAAAACCTTAAAAAACAGCAGCGAAACTCAGAGCAAAGAGAAAACAACAGAACAGGCATCAGTCTGTGTAGTAATGCAGTTTGCACATTTTCTTTTTTTATTGTTGCCTCATTCACTAAACAGTTGAGTGGTGCAAGATTACCAGACAGAGAGTTAGGATACACATCTATGCTATACAGCGGATGGATTATAATTATTACAAATACAGTAAACATATTTACATTTTAGTTCAAGCTCCATACAACATAGATATTTACAAAATAAGTATGAAAATGAAACCAGTCTAAATAATGTACAGCGGTAAAATGTTCAGGTCTTGTCCTTTTATTTTTTTAAAACCAAGAATCCCAAAGATACTGTCAGATGAGGAGGGTGGGGGGGCTGATGAGAAAAATCACGACTAGTTTAGTTTGAAAGGCATCAACGGAAAATTTAAAGTCACATTAAAGTGTTCTAATATAATTTCAGTCTATAGCTATGATGTGTTATATTCCCTGATATTAGATTAAATAAACTAATAAATTAACCCTTTTATTAGATTTCAGACACCTGGGCATCGTGGGTAGTTGGTAAATGTTTCCTCATAATAAAAAAAATAAAAAAACTACTTTCTGATCAGGAGGAAGCGCTACTGTTGCTCATATCCTCATGAAAAAAAAAAAAAAAAAGGTGCAGCGGGTTACATCTCTGGTCCCTTCAAATTAAATAGTTAAAAACAACCAAACATCTTAAATCGTACATTCAACTCTCTCAGCTCAGGCTGCCAACCTTCATTTGGTTAATTATGAGCAGAACAACTAAACCGCACAGACTTTATTTAATCAGTTAGTTGAACCTTTTATTAATATGTGCAAAGAGCTGCAAACTAATATGTACATTTATAAACCATAAACACAAACAATAATAATATACTTCTGCAAAGGAGCCACTGTGTGTGAAAATGTTTGCTCTGGTGTCCTTGTATTTTTAACCTAACGAATGCATAGATGCAGGGTTTAGATTCCAGTATGGGCTCTTTAACGACTCTCTGACCAGCAGGTTTCCTGACCTCTGGGTCCTTTGACAAGCAAATATTCTACTATAAAATAAACTAATGAAGGCATCTCCGTGTCGGCTCTCGTGTGAGGTGAGCAGGGGGCAATCTGCTGGTTGGTTGGCCAGAGTTTAATAATGCCCTTCTGTGCAGCGAACGAGTGCAGAGACAGAGGCGCCTCATCAGCATCAAGTGCAGGGCAAACATTTTCACCTTCCTCCACGTCCTTTTAAGGTTTTCGTCCAGTGTAACTCCGATATGCTCACTCATCCTTGTTCCTGAAGCTCAGACATAATCCTGCATGATCTGCCTTGCAATAGATATGAGTTAATGTGCAAAAAAACAAAGGTGCAACACCAATAAATGCTGGTTAAAAACAAAAATCAACAAATAAATGCCCTTTTTTTACATTTCAAATGACAGTGAATACTGAGAAACAAAAGTTGTAGAAAGAGTGTTAAGAGTTGGAGAAGTTTAAATTCAGGAACCTGAAGAAAAAATAAAGAAGTGGTCATGTTTGTTGGTGCTGAAATTAACAAATACTTCATTTTAGAGGTTTTACCCAATAAGGGGAATGTTTCTTCATCCATCCTTAAGCTACAGCAGCTTCAGCACTCATCTCAGCAACTTTTTGACATCTCACCAGTTTTTAGTTTCACACATATGCGACAGTCAGGTAATAAAGTTTGGGTTTATTTTTGCTATAGAAGCAGAGAGAACTGCCTTAAACAGGATCTGAATATCACTGCCATCCCAGAGGAACACCTTTAGGAATAACTTTCCCTCCGGAGCATCTTTAGCTCCTGTATTTCCTCCCTCATATCCTCCAGTCCTTATGGTGAAATACAAAACGGAAAAATGTTTATTCCTGCAGCAACTATCCGTACAAAGAATGTACATTTTTGCTCGTTTTTATCCAGTTAGCAAGATTTCTTTTTTTTGTTTTTTTTTATGTTTGAACAAATGCACAAACTGACACTGGCACTATCTTGGCGTGTATGTACAGAGGCTGAGGAGTGGGATCTAACATCAAACGGAGGATTTGGGCTGAGCTCGACTAGATTTTACATGAAATCTTAAGTTTCTTATTTTGAAGCCTGATGCATTTCTCTTTAAGTCCAATATGGAAAAGCAATAGTTAATGTTACAGAGTATTAACTACTAAATCCCTTTGATATATTTGGAGATTTTCACCTAAAATTTCAATCTGTTTTCCCTTATCAGTAAGCAAACTTGGTGTTCTCCAGCCTCCCTTATCCTAGCATATTATCAAAAAACTAAAATTTAAATTAAACTTATTTTGGGAGTTACGTAACACTGATAGGAGACTTTTTTTGTTTCTTTTGTTTTTGTGAGAGATGTTTGGCAAACTAAAAATAAATGTTTTTGGAGAGCCGTGCACACACAAGTAGACTACTACAACATGCTTCAAGTCAGGAAGTTCAGGGGTGACGACAAAGCAGAAAGAAATCGAGACATAAAAGTTTAAAACACAAAAAGCCGAAGGGGGAGGAGAAGAAGAGCTCGGGTTGCTGGAGGGAAGCAAAGTTCAACGGAGTTGAAACTTTTAGTCGCATGAAAAGTAGAGACTTAAGCCACAGGTCTACTTACAAGAGGAAACCTTTTAAGACTCACAATGATTAATAAGTTTTAACACTCTGTATGTTCAAAGGCTGCATGGAGGGAGCAGGAGCCATGGGAGGCCTGCGTCACTCAGTTCTTCATCAGGCCGCTGCGCCTCCTCGCCAGCTTCGACCTACAGGGACGACATGTTGCCGTGAGGTTTAAGGTGCATTCGTTCAACAGATGTAAAGGTGTAACATGTTGGGTTTAAAGTACCTTATCGTCCCTGCTAGCAGGGGGTTAAAGGCGTACAGCCAGTCGTTCAGATCTTTCTCATTGTTGGCCTGCAGGAGGATTCCTCGATGCTTTGTGCACACTGCAAATGTGTTGGGAGTCTGCAAACAAAGATTCATAATGAGGCAGTTTTATCAAATTAGGTTAAAGTCTATTTATTTAAAAATAAAAACAAAGCTTGGTGATAAAAGTTCAAGGCAACTGCAGTCACGTGTTTATATTAGTCCATAGCGGGCTTGGAAGGTGCTCATTTTGCCGTGAGACACAAAATAACTTTATGGGAAAAAATGGTTACATGTTTAATTTATAAAAACACACAAACACTGATGCTAATTTGAAAGTTGTTGAGAAACGACTCTCTTTTCAGCCACTAACATGCTCCTAGTGTAATTTCCACTTGATTTGTAATCACTTAGATCTACAGCGGGAGGTTTTCTGACCCTGTATTTAGTCATCATGATTTCAGAAGCTTGATGTTGTTGCCAAACAGCGTCCTTGCGTCAAACACAGCTGGTGAGTTTGGGCGTAGTTCTCCATCATTACTGCGTTCAGTTTGTGTCATTTATCAGAAACAGACCCTCATGCTAGTCATGGTCAGCAGTACAGGCTTACTGTGCCTCCTCTTCCTTCTTAAACTCACTGAGGAAAAGTAGATTAATGAAGCTGGTAGATGTTAATTTAGGAGTTCCTCCTTTCTTAGTTGACTCCTTTTCAGCCTGTACTGATGTGATACTAAGTTCACTAAAGATTGCATCATCAGGGTTTTGGCAGATTCCCGATTCTTGACACTCATTCAGTCCACAGAGGGTAGATAGTTACTCTGCATATATTTTTAAACATTTCTGATGAATTCAAATAAGTTCCTGTTTTTAAAAATGACTTGAGCTCTGAGTTGTAAAGTGAAAGACGTCATGTGATGGGGGTATGTAAACCTCTATTTCACCATAGAAACACTCATAAAATAGTTCTAATGTTGATTCGAGCCTTCAGGAAGTGCTGGCGATTCTGATGAATTACCTTGAGCATGGCCTGCTGGTCTTCGCTGTATTCCACCTGGGCTGTGGACAGGTTGAGAACGCCGCGCTCCACTGGGTCCTTGTCACTGTTGTAGATGAAAACGTACGGGCGGCGAACGACCACGAAGTGCTTTACCCACGTGTTGGAGCGCGGCTCCATGAAGCTGAGGAAACCTTTCTTAGACACCACAGACCTAAAAACAAGAACAGAAAAAAAAGACCTCCTTACTTTGTTTTTCCTAAAGATGAGTGCCACCAATTAGCATCTTATCAGCTGAGAGCGTCCAAGTTTGATGGATATTTTTTAAGCTGCTAATTGGCTGTCAGACAATAACAGCCAAATCAAATAAGCCACTGCCATAATACTAACCCCGGCCTCATTTCCTCAATATCAGGCACCAGGTTTAAGAACTCGTTCTTTCCAGCCCGAGCAAGGTAGGACATCTCCAGCGTGGGAACCATTGGGAAGTTCTCATAGTCTGAGCAGGAAGGACTGGAGGCACGGGAGCTGTTCTCTGGAGTTCTTTAAAAGACAAAATACCAAGACAGAATCAAAGTTATGCACTGTCTGGATTATTTACTGTTAGAAAAAAATACATCAAACAATCAGAAAAAGTTTTTACTTTTGGTCTAAGGAGCTGCAGCGGGAGTCAGCCAGGGAGGGGCAGGTGGAGGAGGGGGTGAGGGTGGCGCTGCTCAGGCTGGTCACCGATGGGTCTCGTCCCAAGGGAGAGATGTCGGACAGCTGGAAAGAAAGGATGGAGTTCCACATTTTTTACAATGAGAATCAGCTTCATCACCGTTCAGATAAAATGCAACCAGATTGAGGAAAACATTCCAGAAATTTCTCACCTTACAGTCACTGATGCTGTTCACCACCTGGCTGTATTCGCTGTTGAAGGTGTGCGTCAGCAGGCGCAGACACTGTAACACAACAAGACCGTCAGCTCAAGGCAGCTTAGAGAGGTCACTGCTGTCTGTTTGGGTTTACGAGCTTTCTCCTCACCTTGGAGGCGAGCTCCTTCTCGCGATCCACCAAGCTCTCAATGTCCGCAGAGTCGTAGCCGCTGCTCTCGCTGGGGGTGATGGCGCTTTCGCAAGTGGCGCTGGAGATCTGGGAGGAGATGGAGGTGGAGGTGGACAGCGTGCCTGTGCTCATGCTGGGGGACAGACACTCGCTCAGGGACTTGGTGGTAGGAGTGGTTCCCACTGGAGCCTCTCCCAGCTTCTCCCTCAACAGAAGGAGGTGGCGGGTCTTCTCCACCTGTTAATGTGAGGGTTGTTTTTAAATAACAGATAAAACTCAGCTCTCTATGTATTTAGTTTTTCCAATATGTGAACAAGAACTGAGTTCCCACCTCATGCAGCTGCTCTAGTTTTTCCAGCTCCCACTGGTGCTCCAGGATCAAGCTGTCTCCTCTGGGTCTCCATCCGGCCAGATTCTCCTCTCCTCTTACATAAGCCACTGAAGTATCCAGAACCTTCCTTCTCCTTCGCTGCATCCCTGCGCAGCAAAGAATAACTTGTTAAGAAGAGGGTGAAACAATTATTCAGATTTTAGTTTAAAAGCTCCTTTTTCTTGCTCACCAGGGCTTCCAGTGTCAGACATCTTGCACAGGCTCAGCTCATAGATACCGGTGACACGATTGCTAAAACAAACCAGCAAAAAAATTATTTTGTAACAAGTCAGAGATTCTGCAGCAAGATAATACTGAGTTTTTATCTTGAAATTACCAACTTTACAAAAAAACAGAATGCAAATAAGATACTGATAAAATATGTTTTTATTTCAATAGAAAAATCCAAAGTTGATGAACTTGCAGGCTTACCAGTCAGGAGTTTTGGAGTAGCCACTCCCAAAAAGGTTCCTGAGCGAACGGGGAGGAGAGATTTTGGCGTCCCGGGAGTAGAACACCATAGAGACGTCTTTAGTGATGATGGCGGGCTGGATGCAGTGGTCCAGCTGAAAAGAGAGGAGACAGTTGGAGCGAGCCGAAGTCCAGAGGCAGGTGAGACAACTTGAAGCAGGGCAGAAGGACAAACCTCTAGATATGCGGACAGAGTCATGTAGATCTTCTCTCCGTAAGGAGTGACCCGGTTGAGCAGGAGGGAGTTGTGGAGGGAGCTGTCCCACACCGCTTCAAAACGATAGAAGGTTCTGGAAGAGAAAACCGAGAGAAAGGGGCATGAGTCGATGATTTGTGATATGTTGCTTTGCAAACACTAAGTTTATATTCTCACAGGAACATTGGGGACTTAAATTGTGAACCAGCATTAACGGATCTGACAGATTAAGCAGGAATCTTACTGTTAGCATGAAAGGATGTGAGGACAAATGGTGAGCAGACACAAAGACAGCACAGATGGTAAGGGTAGGAGCTGGAAAATACTACAATTAATTCACTGTGTTGCTTTGTACATAAATCAATCATCAAAATAAAACAATTTTAATGTCATAAACGTGTCTATTTAAATAAATTAACCCTTTTAAATGATTGTTTCCTTCTTTACCAGCAGGGGGAGCATTTACTATCAGACACTGACCTTGTTAACTTGTCACCTTACAACTTTATATTAAAGGTTTATATTAAAATCTAAAACTTATAAATATACTGTATAAAAGAAGCACTAATCAAGGGGTGTGTTTGCATTTAGATTGCCTTTCTTTGCAAATCAACATTTTGAGCAATTTGTGGGAACAAAGAAAGATCTTATGCAACATGGAGGGGAGAGGATTAAAAACCAACTATAATGAACTTATTTCTAAGAATCTATAAGTCTAAAGAAAGCATAAAGCCCATTCATTGAAGGCCTCTCATAGAAAGGGTACCTATCAATATCCTTATCAATAGAAAGCCTGAGGACAGCGGCAGCAGGAGAAAAGAGTGAACAGAACAAAAAGAGAAGCACAAAGAGTCAGGCAACAGAGACAATGAAGCGTTTCAAGTAAAAAAATAATGCAGACACTAAAAGCTCATGCAATGAGTGCATTACTACCTTAGATACTTTAGATGACAACATTTCATAGCAGAAGATGGAAAAAAAGAAAGACAAACTACATCCAAAACCTTGGGAAACCCATGGATTCACCCTGTGTTACCTGTAGAATCCATCAGAACCAAAGTAACCCTCAGAGTCCCATTCGAGTACCTGTTAGTGTTGTGGGATGACTTAATGTTCTTGGCAGAAATGATGTTGAGGGACAGGACGGCATCAGCTGCACCATCATCCACCTCGGCCTTGTTTCTGATACGACCTGATGGAACAAAACAGCACAACACATCAATATGGAAAATAATAATAAATAAAAGAAAACAACTCTACAAGCATTTCATCCACATGCAGCACATCAACAGTCTGAATAAGATGCTGAAAGTTTGAAATGTAATTATTTGGTCCATCAGCTGCAGCTAGAGTATATAAAACGCTGACAGAAACGTCACCTTAAGCAAAACAGAAGCCTGTCCTCCCAACCAGAAAGCTGTGTGGTATATTTCAGTAATGCCTTCTATAAAGTGTGCACCCTCCCTTCTATATACTCCGACAGGCTGTGTTTGCTGGATTGTTTCAGCCTGATCAAGTGAGCGCAGATGTAAGGGCAGCTCACCTACAACCAACTCACGAACATCCTTCCAGTGAAGTTCACTGCCTTTCTCGTGTATGAGGGTCACTGTGATCCTTCGCTGGATTCCCTGCAGAAACAATTAAGAGATTATGATTCCATTTTTATTATTTTAGAAAGCGATGAAAAAAAACTTTGAGTTAAAACACACATAGGGATATTTTGAGGAGTGTCAAATGTTTTCTGCTTACCTGGTGCAGAAGATAGGTGCCATGACAGGGCAATCCGGCACTGTGATCCACTATAGCTGGGATGTACCTGTGGATAAAGCCAGATTAAAATGAACAAATAGCATTTAATAAACTATTAAAAGTTGGATTCAATCTGATATGAAAGAAAAAGGCACAGAGAGCCACTCACTCTCCAGTAGGCTCCAGTTCACTTATCTCGAACCAGACGAGCAGGTCGTACTTGCTGACACACTGACCCAGGTTCGACTTGGTGATGGTGTTCAGCTTGGTGGCTGGAACTAAAAAAAACATCTAAAATTAGCTCAACATTCTATTAGGGGTTTTCATGAATGTTAATGATGAACAAACGTAAAGAACACCAATCATTTCTGCTGAGGCTGAGGGAATCTACACAGAGCCATACAGACATTACTATAGAGATTTGCTACAGAAATAAAAGAATGTGTATTATAGTAATCAGACGAGTCCAAAAAAAAAAAAACGAGTCTAGTGATTTTCTGGTGTTTGTTTTCTATCAAACACATAACATTCTCAGAATATCTATGGCAGCATCATGCTGTGGGGAAGCTGCTCATACTGCAAGCGGCTGAAAGGATGAGATCAGGGCAAATGTTCACCTTCCAGCAGGAGAAAAACCCTCCATACAAATCAGGAGCTATAGATCAAAGTGTATTCTATAGTCTTAAAATGTCCTGTAAAAATCCAGACATGAATCCAAAGTGATAAAAAGCTTGAAACTGATGTTCACAGATTCTCTTCATCCAGTCTGACAGGTCTCCAGATGTGTAAAGCCGGTCGAGACAAACTGCAGATTCAAAGGGGGCTCAACACTGAGGCATGCCATTCTTTTCAGATTTTTATAAGACTGATTTTATTTAATACCAATGTGTCATTTTCTTTCCTTTTATTCAGGTGTGCTTATAATATCATGAATTTGAAAAGTTCAGTAACCACGAGTCCTTTTGGAGGAAGCTGTATTTTGTGACTGAAAAGTGGAGTTAAATCACAGATTACGCCTCGCTGAACGCTTCCTGGTGTCTGACACATCATCAGGATTACGCTGCTGTTAGAACCATCTAATCTCTGATGTGCACACCCATTTCTGCAATATAAAGCTTGAAACTACTAAAGCTCTCTAAAGCCACAGAGGGTTTAGGGATCCACAGTCCGATCAGTTGTCCTTTATGATTAATTCTCTTTTTTCACAACCAGGAACACAATTTACGATTCAGGAAATGCAGCAAATCTACAGAAAGGTACAAACTAAAGTAAGGCTATAAGCGACGGGGGAGGTTACAGCTAATGTATTGGGGCTTGAAGGTGTCTCCAGTGAGTTGCAGCACTCACTGCGGTGCTCTGGTGTGTCCCCACAAAGAGGACCGAAAAGAAATAAAGCTCTAGTCTAATCACAGACAGTGGAGGGGCATCTATTGGCTGCTTCTCAACTGCTACAGAGTACTTTGAACCAACCGTGGTGCTTAGGTACAGTGAACACGGGGTCATGGAGTGCAGAAAGGAACGGGAAGTGTGAGAGCTGCTCAGCTTCGTCCTCCAGGCTGGCCACAGCAGAGGAGGCGAGGGCGTTGGCGTGCTCGGACAGCCTATCCAGCACTTTGCTGTTAACATAGCCGCTCACCAAGTAGTGGATCAACTCGATCTTACGGGTGTGGTCTTGGTGAGTGATGTTGTTTGTGTGCAAACGGTGGAAAAGATCAGTAAGTATGCATGCAGGGGGAAAAAAACAACAAAAGGGGAGGACTGAGTCTGGTAAATAGGATTAAAGATTACAGATAAATGATTCAATAGGACACAAAAAGATCCAAAGGAAGCGAGAAATGAAAATGTGCATGTGAGGTTTGGATATATAAGAAACTCAAAGTTATGGGGAATCAATGATGAAAGAACATTTTACTGTAAAGGTGTGCTGGAATGACTGGTACCTGGTTTAGACAGAGGCATAGGAATAGGATAGTATTTCCTTGATGGTGTTGGAGGCCTGTTAAAGGAAGCACAGGAAGGAAATGTGAGTTTAAAAGAGAAGTTTATCCTATCTGAAGTACTTTAAATGGAATAATGAAATGAAATAATTTAAATTCGTTACATAAGTACTCAAAATCCATGAACTTTTTTACATTAAAATCACGAAATTGCCTGAGTGAAACTCAGCCTTTTGCTGGAAGGTTCCTCTGTACTTTATTTAGTTGTATTAGAACAAGACATCAAAGTTTCTAGGGTTCCTTTCATATATCTAAAGCTTCCCACCTGATCAGGTCCTGGCCATGGATATGCAGCGGGTGCTGCTGATAGTGGCCAAACACCTCAAACACGATGGGCTTGCTCTTAATGTACTCAATAAAGGACTCCGTGACCTCCACTGAAACCTGCAACAGTAGAAAGTCCGATTTAAGCTTCTATTTAAACACTGCAGAAATATTTCCATGTTTTTCTGTACTTACATTCTGAACGTGGTAAAAGCCCAGAGGAGCTCCTTTGCCGGTGTTCTTCAGTGGCTCAGTTGAAAAAGCCTCGTCGTGGCGATGAAGGAAACTGAAACGAAGCACATGTCTGCGTGAAAAACGCTTCCTATAAAATCGGGACCAATTCTGATCAGAACTCGTTTTTCGGAGTGGTGAAACTTTAAGAGTTGTATAAAAAGAAATTTTAATCATTCTGTGTTCAGCTTAGATGTTATTTTTACTTACTTGAATTGGCAAAAGATGTCTGCATACTCGGGTGGGATGCCGCTGGCCTGGAGGACAGTAACACGGAAGGTGAAGATGCTGCCTACCTCCAGCTGGCCTGCCAGTCCGTCAATGTGACTCAGCTTGCTGTCTGAGATGTTGCCCAGCTTAAGGTCTGAGGAAGAAATATGAGCTGCGATTTATTAAAAGTGACCAATAAATGCTGGTGGTTCCATGTGAAATCTATGCTCTTCTTCTAGTTATTTAAGAGCAGCTCTGGGGAGGCAGCACTTTAAGCTTTTATAAAAAGCATACAAAAAAAATAAAACTGCATTGCTCTCATTAACATGACAAAGTATTAAATCCTAACTTTGGAACATCTGCTAAATGTGATCGCCAGTGAGGGGGAGAGCCTGAAATTTATGAGTGTGGAGGTGAAGGTCTGGCAGCCGTACCCATGTCGTTGATTCTGTTGAGCTCCTCGGAGGGTGTGATGACCTCTGAGCTCTGACCCTGACCCTCCACAATACGCAGCTCCTCCAGGGACAACCCAGAGCGAGTCATAACCGTAGAGGGAAAGTCGTTCTGAATGGATGAATAAAAGCAGGAGGCATTAGCATAAAGCTGGTCTAGAGGAATGAAGTCCTGAGAATTATATATATATTATTTTCAACCAAGTAGTTATTTCTGAAAAGAAAAACAGACAGCCCAGGTGTCTGAGTTTCCAACTGCTTTCATCTGATTCTGGGCTCACCTTTTTGAAGTATTCATCATCAAAGGAAATCTTGGCAGTCCCCGACTGTCTTACCCCTGACCCATAATCTGGGGCCTCCTCGTCAGCTAGAAGAGAAACAAACCCTCCTTTTATCCCAACCTGTCATAAACCTCTGCTGTCAAAGCACATCTAAAGGAATGCATAAAGGATCTGAGGGAATCACTGCGATGCAGCACAGTCCCTGACAGCTTTTCTACACATTCGGCTTTCAAAGCAGCAGGCAGAACCACACACTCTTATGTTTAGACTGTTTTAACAAAAAAAAGCATTTTTTTTTTAATTTCATTAGAGATTTCAATAATTACTCACCAGCTATAGCCTGGACCCCCACACGCAGGAAGCCTCGCACCTCGCCCTTTTCTGTAACTATGGCAACACGGTGGACGAGCGGCACCGGATACAGCAGGTTGCTCAGGTACACAAAAGCTCTGAGTGCAAGAAAAAAAACAAAAGATCTGAAAAACTGCTGAGAGCGGTTTAGCATCGAAATATAGCATCAATCTAGTATCTGCAAAGGTTAAAAAGTTAACATGTTTTGCACAAGTTATTGACAAATATACACAGTGAAATATTAGTGACAAAATAAAGGAGAAAAAAAATTAATAAATGAGAATGACAAGTAATGACAAGTAAGAGCTATTTAAAATGTAATTTTTTTCAGTTTTTGTCTCATTCAGTGAAATAGGAGACAGATCTGCAGGATGCAGCAGTAAAGGCTGTAAAAACAGCAGCTTAAGGTTCTATCCCATGGTGGTCTCTCAGGAACACACAACTCTGATACGTTTTGTAAAAAATTATTTGTAATTTCAGTACTCATAGATACAGACTCTGCAACCAGATCGCACCCCTCTGTCTCTGTGCCGGAAGACTCAAGGCTAAACCCAGAGCAGAGATGTCAATGCATAAAATCTCTGAAGACCCAGGATGCATCTGTGTGTTGGTTTCACTGCTCATCACTGCGATATTGGATTTACAGGATGGTGTTATTAGTGTTGCACCTTCTCCATTTTGGGTAAAAATCCAACCACCGTTGTTCAGTATCAAATCAATCTGTCAATTTTTCTTTATCTTTTGTGAAATATTTCATACCCATCTTGAAAACTGATAAGTCATAGCTTTATGTAATCTACAGTCTAGTTTAAGGTTTATATCACTCCTTTAATCTAACTAGAAACTGTTTTGATTGTATTTCACTCCGTTTACATCAGAGTAAAATACATTTAGAAATGAAAAGGGAAGGCATGAAAAAGCAAGATTTAGGAACAAAAATCAAGGCAGCTTTACTTAGAGGTGTCAGGAGCACCGACACCAGTTGATGTGGAAGCAGGAAGTCTTAAAAACTCCTGAACTTAAATTGCTATAAAATGAAGGCTTGTTTTGCAGCAATGTGACCAGATGCTCAAACTGTGATACGTAAAAATACATTCATCACACTAGCATCCAAAACTGCTCTTACTTCCATAAAAACTGATATATCAGACAGTCTTTTAGTTTGTACTTTAAATCATGACATCAGAAAACTTTGAAGCAAACTAAAGCAACCAATATGTAAAACTTTACAGCTGCTGATCACATGATGATATAAAACAAGCTAAAGCAAAAACACTGACAGAACAACCATTTTATAGCAAAACTTAACGGTTATTATGGAAAACCTGGTAGAGAAATGACACTGAAAGGGTTAATACTACACTGCATTTTGTTTTGATTTCAATTGTATGATTTTACGCATTAAAGAAAAAAAAAAAATATTTTCATTGGTCAAATGAGAACGTTTTAGCTTACACATTCCAAAACCAAAATATTTCAAAAGTGACAAAAACAAATGACACAAATTAAAATGAAAACAAGGTTTAAAAAGTGAAAAAGGAAACAAACGAACAGCACTTATTCTGCTTGGTGCAGTTTTAGCAGACAGATGGGAGTTAATACAGTCAGCAGCAAGTGGTGGTGGAGGATGACACATCTCACAGGAGGACGTCAGGAGATGATGCTGGCTTCTTATCTTTTTTTAAAGTCCAAAATAAAGGTAATCTTAATTGGCTGATGTCAGAGAACAGGAAGATGACTACTCATGTCAAATCAAAGAATGTTTAATTTAATTCTGACACTCTGAGGCTTGAAATCAGCTCCTTAATGCTGTAGAAACTCTTCTATAGCCTGTTTGTACTTTGCTCATATAACTAAAGCCAACAACAGCTCCCCTGTGACAGCCTCTGGGTGCAGAGCAAGAGGAAACGGCCAAATCACCGACCTTCCCACCAGGATGAACCAGGGGGAGCGGTCATAGAAGGGGTCCTGGCCATCACTGAAGATGTCAGAGCCCTCCTCGGTGCCGGCATCCGAGCTTGTGTCGTCCACAAACGCCTCGTCGTCCATGAAGTCGGACATCTCGCTCTGGCGCTCGTCCGCCAGCTCGGTAATCTCCGAGTCAGAGGTGGAGAAGGTGGGAGAGGGCGTGCGGTCGGCCAGGTGCTCGTTGACGCAGCCGTTAAAGATGGGAGAACTGCTGGATGGGGGTAAAGGTTTGGGAACAGTGGCAGGAACCGAGGAAAGGTAACAGTGAAGTTACAGAAGAGTTACAAAAAGGGAACGTTCACGTTGTGACACTGTTCGCTCACTTTGCTTTTCAGGGTTCTTACACAGTTCTCATGAAAAAAACTACAGACTTTACCAGACAACATTTTATAGTCTGCTCCTTCTCAAGATTAAAATCATAAAGTTTAGAATTAAATGTTCAAACTGTAGATACGGCAAAAACAAACTGGAAGAGGGAAACGAGAAAAGGACAGAGGGCACAAGGCAAGACTGCATGAAGGAAGGAATAAAAAAGCATAAGAAAATGTTGGAAGGAAGGAGCCAAGAAAGAAAAAACACAAGGAAAGAAAGACACATTTAAACAAAGGGACTTAGAATAAATTAAAGACCTATATGTACCCTTTTTCTTTTTTTATTTATTTTAATGTATATCCAGATCATATCCAAACTGTGTAGGAACCCTGCTTTTAGAGCAAACAAATAACTACAAATAAAAAGATTCAATTTTCCTTGCAGTAATTACCTGCATCAATCTAATGCAAAAGCTTCCAAAAAGCTTTTCCAGTTTAGGAATCATTTCATAGAGAGCCGCCATTAATCTAATCGCAGGTGTCAGAGCAAATACTACCAAACGCTATTTTAAAGCAAAATGAAAGCCCACATGAATGGATTAGCCTACAAATCCCCTCATGTATGCAGCCTGAAAGAGGATAAACATATAAAACGCAGAACATTCCCGCCTCATGTTCACATGAATTACATGAAAAGGAGAACAGCGACCAATGAAAGCACAACATGATGCATTGAACAAAATGAAGAAAATAAACATAAAACCATATAAATAAAATAAATACACATTTAAACTGATGTGGCATGTAAACATATGAAACAAATTAAACCACAATCACAAAACAAAACTGGCATATTTTAAATGAAAAAAAAAAAAAAACAAAAAAAAAAAATGCAGGTATACATAAGCAAACATGAATGGGAAATATGAAAATAATGATACATAAAAACTTCTGACAATGAAAATTAAACACATGAACAAAACCTAAATGCTTTAGTACAGTATAGGCATTTGCCTGTGATAGTAATAGTTTGATAGGCATTAGTAAAGATAAACAGATGAAACTAAAATGTTAAACCTAAAAGGATTAAATTGCTTTTCTTAAGAATAGCAAAGTACACAAACAAAGCATAGAGTTTGGGAAATGAGCATCACTGTTTTAAATAATCAAAACTGTTGATGTGGACCGTGCAGTAGAGTTCATATTGCTTACACACCTGCCCACCAGCTTAAACCAGTGAAAACGGTCGTAGAACGGGTCGTTTCCAGTCAGCGTTCCCTCTCCATCAGCGTCCTGATGAGTGGAGGCCATTTCTCCGGCACGGTCGTACATCTCTCTCATTTGTTCCAGCCTCTGCCTGTAAATGATCAAATGCACTCAGGATTAATGGAAGCAGGAAGAGAATGAACAGACAACTTAATGAATGGAGGGTGAGAGAAGCTGCTGATGTATACATGATTGGAACTGGACTTTTTTTCTTTGTATAGTCAAAAGAGAAAACAGATCTTACAAAACTGCTGATTTGAATACTGATTCTACATGATTAATGTGTTTAATTTTTCTTTTCTTTTTTTTCTTTTTTTTTTTTACAAAAAAACTCTTCAAAAAATGCATCTTAGTGTAGAAAAAATATATATTATAAAGCACATTTTTGCAAACATTCACAGTTCTAACAATAACGATAAGTTCATCCAGTCACAGTGAGAAGGATCTCCACTGTCTACATAAAAAAAAAAACATTAGCTGAGAAGTTTGAAAACACATCTTTACCAATAGTTACTACACTATAACATAATAGGTTATTACTTGAGTTTTTCCAGGGACCAGTAGTGTGTGGCTCCATTCTTCAGGTCCTGAACCTCCACAGCAACCACAGTACGAGGGAAAGGTCTCGGGTTGCGTTCCTTCTCCGGCTCTTGGGGCAGAAGCTCCGGGGGCAGAGGGGAGTACAGCGTGTCAGTCAGCAGGACGAACTGGAACTGGACCTGAACAAAGAGAGGATTTTTAGGAATCTGATAAGCCTTTTATAGTTTATGTGTTGTATAAATAGCATGGTTTTCTGATGGAAGGTGAACTACAGCAATTCAGCTGGTTTATTTCATTTCAACTAGAGCACAGTCTCTATTCAAGTGACACTTTCTTTACTCTTTTTGTAACATATTGTCACATCTTCAGTGTGTTGATGTAAAGGCAGCAGAAGCTGAAAATATTTATAAAAGAAAATTAAGTTAAGCTACATAGCCAAGTCACTGAGAGCATATATAAGCTGCCCTCAGAGCTTTGTTATGACCAACTGTCAACTCAGCCAATATGTCTGGTTGTCATGACAGCCCAAAGATATCTTCAGGATTCGAGTTTAGACATCTAGTCAGTAGAATATGTAACATGTCATTTCTACAGTTTCACATCCCTGAGGAAAACACATGGTGACATAGGGCAGTGTGATATAAGCCTTTCATGTAAGTCGATATTGATAATTATAGATTAGTACTTTTTCCTTATCTATTTATGATAAAAGCCCAAATTTGAATTGTAATACCAGTCCTTTTGAAACATAACCTTGGACCCTTAAAAACAGGGAGGCCCCTCTGCCAACTTTAGAGGGTTCGGTCATCAGATGTATGGTGGCTGAATCCTTTCCTCTGACTACATCTCCCAGAATACCATGTGGTTCTGGATCTGTAGAATTATTAAAAATGTGTTTTATATAAGATTCGATAGATCAATAGGTAGATCAATAGATTGATAATTGCCCAGCCCAAAATTGACCATTTAATGGCTACAAGGAGTGAGAAATCACCCACAAACATGTCAAATGACAAAATCCATTATCCCAAAAACCAACATAATCAAAAGGAACCATTTAGCATAAACTTTCAATTCAATAACAATCAAATACAATGTAATTCAGCCAAGATCAATAATTAAAAAAAATCAACCCAATTAATTCCAAAGCTAGCATATATGCTATGTTAGTCAAAAGCTGTCCATCTAAGGAAGTGACGATGCAACAACTCCATCCTAACCTCAAACCAATCCTCAGTTACAACAATGTAATACACAATAATTTCTCAATTATTTGAGTAAATGTGCAGCTCTAATCAAAAGAAGTGTCTTAGTAATCATTTGCAAATATATAAAACCTTTTATTTTTGAGTTTTTGCAGCACTAGTGGCTCGTTTTTTTGACAGTAGGCTTACAGGAAAGGAGGTATGAGAGAGGGGGAGAGACATGCGGCAAAGGACCACAGGCCGCATTCGAAGCTGCGTCGGCCGCATCGAGGACTAAGGCCTATGTACATGGGTCGCACGCGCAAACCGCTACGTCAGCTGCACGCCCAAATATATCAAACCTAATAGCAACATGATTTCACCCACTTTTTTCTTCAGCTCCACACTGATGGCGTTGGCCTCCTTCAAGTACACAGCGTTCCCCCACAGCTGGTCGCGCAGGGAGGTGAACTGATGGTACCTCCACTTCCTGAAGGCCCACTGAGCCAGCTCAAACTCATGCTGAGTCCACGGCACTATGGAGAGACGGCAAACAGAGATGACATTAATAATGCTCAAATTAAAACCATAAAAGGTTCTTACAGGAGGTTATGGTCGTTCAAACCGCTGCACAGATTCTGAGCATTAATAATGTGGAGTACTGCGTCACCTTATTTTGGGGCAGCATTTTCCTCTAGGAAATGACTGCACTGAAAGGCTTCCTGTCATCTCCAAAGACACGATTTTACAATCCAAACACTTATTTTCCAAATTCAGCTTTACAAAACTTCTCATATATTAACAAGAAGAAACTAAAATAAGAGCTATTCTCTTCTGACTTTTAAAGACGATTTGCAGGCAGTGGACTACCTTTCAGTACAGCATTCTGATATGTTGAATTAGTGTTGCAGGCATTTTATGGGCCACATCTACAGTCTGGTTAACCTTAGTACCTTCGGTGGGTAGTTAGTATGACTATTAATACATTTTAGAGTGAGACATGGTGACAGTATCAAAATTCATATACGCACATCCCAGTAATTTAGGTTCTGGACACAAAATATGGAATAGAACACACAGTTCATTAATTTCTTTATTTTTTTTACATTTATAGTTTATAATGCATTAGAATCCTCTAAAAGTAAAACACACCTTCCTCCTCTTCTTCCTCCTCCAGCTCCTCCTCGTCCGGCGTCTCTGCTACCAGAGAGCGTGTTTCCACCTGTTTCTGAAGCTCCTGCAGTTTGCTCTCGTAAACCTGGAGACCAACACACAGGAACACATGGACAGCTGTCCATCAGCTGCACAGACAGGGGAGCTCAGAGACTTTAGATACATTTTCCAGCCTAAATGACATTGGAAGACTGATGCCAGAGCTGTGTCAAAACCTCCAGGTGTTTTCTGAATTTTTGGCAGATATGCAGAATGTCACAGCATGCTGTGTAAAATATCATTGGTGTCCAAATATGTATTACCGGTACATCAAAATCTGATTTAAAAATAAAAAATAAAATCAATAGATCACAATAAATCAGAACGCAACACCCTTGAATATAAATTGTTTAACAAATACAATTTAGTGAGCTAAAAAAAAAAATACTTTATAAAAAAAAAAAAAACACAACAATGCTTGCAATAAAGAGCAAAGAGCTGGTTGAAGCTGAATCAGCTAATCCAATGAGGGACACCATCATCATCATCCTCTTCCTCATCATCAGAGGACAGGCAGGCTGTGGTCCCGATGACCTCATCCTGTTTGTTCAGTCTTCTGGGAAAACAATGCAGCCTTTTCATCTGGGGCTGACCTCCTTGCTGCTGAGATCTGCCAGCACACGAACAGCCAAACTCCCAGCTCGACCGAAAAGTAAAATCGACACGATCGTAAGAAACTTTGTATGATGTAAGATCCCACTGTCAGCCATTTCCTAAGGCTGATATTTAACAAATGTAGCAAATCTATAATAATGCTGGGTTGTCTTCCTTATTTCATGGCAACACACATATTTACAAAACAAAACAAAAAACTCAGTGTGATATAATAGATCATAATACTTCAGATCAGAGGGGTACTAGTTTTAAAACAGAGCATTTTTAATGGTCTGTAAAGTTGCCCTGCACTAAGCTGTGCTTCTGATACCTGCTCTGTCTGGGAATTCATTTCAGCTGCACCCCAAGCAAGCAGCTATTTTTTTTATTTATTTTTTTGTTCTTTTAAAAGCAGCTCCTACTGATTTGTGCACATGTTCCATAACTATATTACCGACCCGAAAACAATGTGCATTAGCAACTGCACCTTCCCATCCTTCAACATGAAGCGCTATCCTAAAACTCCACCCATCATCAGTATGAGGAGGGAGGTGGTGCACAGGGAGCTGGGCAGCAGGTTTCATGTCATTCAATGAAAAAAAGCCAAGCTGATTCTACACATTTTAATCAATTAATAGGGTTAATTTCAAATTAAGACATTTATTCACCAGGTTAGGAGACAAAGAATTTAAAATTGCACCTTAAAAGACTAAGTTCCTTGAAATAACATTTTCTTGGTTTTGTCTTTAATCCCAATTATAAACCATCAATAAGTTACGCCAAAATAATCTGGGTTTTTTTGGCTTCCAATAACACTGATAATCTAGATAGAAGAAAAATAGCCAACAATAATGCAGTGATTTAGCTGAGTGCAGCCATACCTGCTGGATAAAAACAATTACAGTTTATTTCCCCAGTATGGCTTTAAATGACTCGGCTTTGCCAGTTCATTAGTGGTCCTGGTTGTGCAGGTGTGGCTTCATCTGTAGATGGACGGCAGCTGGAAGGAGTCAGCCACCTGGGAGAGCTGTGGGACGGAGGTAGGCCTTCACAGTACCTGCTGATTGTTGAGCAGAGTAACAGATTGTGCTTCCCCCAAGTTTTGAACGGTTTATTGAAAATTGTAGCTATACATGTAGAGCTGGAAGAATCCTTAGGGTATGAAGGTTATTCTACTTGCTGCCTTCAGGACAAACTAACCATGCAGCATCTGCACTTCGCTGATGAGTGATTTACATAGAAAATCCAAAACAAAAAAAAGTCCTGCACTGGGTTGGGTACCAGCGGGTATTCGGCAGGTAACTTTTTAAAACGTTCATCTACGGGTAGAAATAAAAAAAAAAACATTTTATTTCATGGGTGCGGGTAGGAGTGTAAATAAATAAAATGAGAGAAGGTATCATTGAGAGTTACAGCATGAATGAAACTTATTTAAATTTTCTTATTTATTAACTCGACATCTTAAACAACAACTGAATTCAAGAATGTCCGGATAACAGTATGTTTTTAAGTAACAAGGCAAACCTTACTTTGGCCAATTCACAGCTGTTAATTTGTGAGCACAGTCCGCACTGGATGTGAGCACCAGGCAACTGCCTCTGTTATTAGAATAAAAGCTGTTTGCAGCTGCTTCGGATGTTATCATTCCATTAAATGGCCATCATTAGTGGTTATTAGTTCCGTAGAATACTTTCAGATTGTGCCTCCTACCTACGAGTAGGCTCAGTAGGTTGTTATCATCGAATTAATCCTAAGGTACAGTAATTCCTTTTCTACCCGCAGAATTATTGAATCTATTTATGTGTAATCTAAACATAATTTTAGTAGTTCATCTATTTAAAAAAAAAAACAACCCCTCCCAAAAAAACTCATGTTCTGTCAACAGAGTTCTTAAAAAAAAAAAAAAAAAAATTATATATATATTTATTAGACCTGTTTTAAGGTCTACATAACCACAATGGGTTTATATTGCACACAGTAGGGATGATGAATTCATCGCTACTCTTACATTCCATTGATAAAAATGCCACCCGTCCAACTGACTGCCAGTGGGAGTTTTAGTAAGATCAGAGCTCTGGAAGTCCTAGTGTTAAACACTACATGAAATCTGTGTGACTGAAACATGCAGAATGACCGAAGTAAAGAAAGTAGGCTGTAAATAAAGTACATAAAAAGTATAAACTAGGTAAATAGAAAGTGACTCAAGGCTTTAGACGTGGCCGAAGCTGCATATTATCAGCCATAAGAAACCTACTAGAAGGTAGAGGAGGTGCAGCCTGGAGCCATGTGGGACAGATAACCGCTAATAACGGCCGAATAATGGTTGATCACATCCGAACGATCAAATCCGAAGCGGGTGCTATGTGTACACTTTGTGATTATGAGTCAGGTCGCACTTTATTATTGACGGGTTCGTGCCGGGTTTTAAATGGGGATAATTGTGGGTAACTGGTCGGCTCTCGGTTCTGAACTCTGCAGGTGGAAACAGTTTTGAAAAATCAAACCCATGCAGGACTCCTCTTTATTAAAACACTTATCCAGGGAAGAAACACAGCTTTATTAATTGTAGCTGAATGTGTAGAGCTGGAATAATCCTAAAGAAAATCTAAATAGTAATGTAGACTACATTAATGTATAAAAAGTAATGCCTATGTCTGGTTTTGAGGACAAAAATGAATAATTTGGACCTTCAAAAGTTCCAACATAAAATTAGATTCTGTGCTTTCACTGTATAAAGGAAAACAAACAAGAAAACACTTTCATCAGAAATAACTGTAAATAAAAGCAGATAATTTTATTTCAGTCAACAAAAATAAACCTCCAGCAACACATTGCTGTGCTTTTTTTTTTTCGATATTTTTGTAAATAAAACTCATCATTTATAAGTATGGACAAAATACACAACATAGTGTAAAAGCAACAACGCACAGAGTCAGAAATGAGGCACCTATTGATGATTTGAAAACCAGATGGACGACATTGGTATAGATATTATGCGCTTTTCAGAACAACAGAATGCTGTACAGAGTTCATTTGATGCTTGATGCACAATTTCTGGAGTCAGTCCTAAATCACTGCTGTAATAAGAAGCAGCTTATTAGGACTTATTACATATGACATGCAAAAATAGTCATAGAGGGACAGTAAGAGATAATACGTACTGTCAAAACATAATAAAAATGATTTTATCATTACATTCACATTCTGATAGTCTTTACAACAAATGTATCCTGCTGCTGTAAGCTTGTTTCTGGTTAAATGTTCTGAAGGACCTCTGATATCAAGTCATAAGAATTAATTGAGGGTTTTAAAGCAACAGGAAAAAAAAGGAGCAAAATGCCAAGCTTTCTGCTTAACTATAAACAGCTAAAGCGCAGAGTATTGGTAGAATAAGCAGTTACACCCATCTGAGCAATTATCTAACAGGATCCAACACAAACTGGACAGTCCTCAAAATCTCATTTGATATGGACATTTCTCCTGAATAACAAGTATGCAAATATTTCAAGTCTTTGTCCTTCCTCCAGCTTTTTTAAAGGACAGGCTTTGGAAACCATGGCAACGCTCAGTGGGTATCCGTTGACACACAGTGAGCTCTGTGCTTACCCACTGAACCACAATGCTAAAACTTTAAAGGCTGAATCAAACTTAAACTGCAAAAGTTTGGACTATGAAGCTGATAGAACAGCTGGGACTTTGTTCTAGCATTTCAGTTTAGACCTTCTTTAATCCTTAGTGAGTTTCAGGACTCGAAGATTTAAAAAATCTCCGATAAGGGGGTAAAAAATATGTGTAAAATAAGGTTATAGCTTTGAAATACTAATTATTGTGCTCACTGGTTAATTACACTACTTACTTAGATTGCATTAAACTGGATTAAACCTGGTGGCAGTCACATGAAATAAAGAACAGGAAAACATAAAAATCACAGTTGTTCTTAGTGGCTTGCAAAAGAATTGAATCAATCAGTTTGTCAAAACAAAAAAATAATAATTTTTTTTTTTTTTGTTTTTTGGTGTTTTGTGAAATTACAAAAAAATAAAATAAAATGCAAAAAGCCCTGCCTGCATAATGAAAAAAAAAAAGGAATAAGACAAAAATACTGAATTGCTAAAGCAAGGTTAATAAAGTTAGGCACTTTTTGAATACCACAAACATTAAACATAATTTCAGTCTCAGTTTAAAAAGGTGCACCTTGGAACCAGTGCTTCAAGTTATACAAAAAAAAAAAAAAAAGATGTTTGTTTGCTAAATATGCATTACAAGGAAATATATAGCGTTGCACTGAGGGCTTATTCTCTCCATCAGTCAAATTATGTTTTCTGTTTTTCTTCCTGGGCTACATGTCAGTGTTGAAGTTAGAAACAATAAATCAATACTCAATTGGTAATAGTGTAAACTCAGAAATAGTTAATGTTGGCAAATTGAAGCATGATTCGTGAATTATTGTACAAGCTGAAAGCATAGCGTTGCTCTCCAGTGAAAATACCGTCCCCATCTGTTGGCTTTAAATCCTAGAGACTATCAGTGTTACTGAAGATGACCCACACACACACACAGTGCAGCAAACACTGACAAAAAACGAGGAATAAGATGATCATGAAGATGAGGGAAAAAATATTATTTTTTAACATTTTAAATACTTGGATCAACCAGTAACACATGGATCAAGTGGAACAGTCCCAGTCAGTTTTGCTGTTGTGATCTGTAATAGTTTGCAGAGTAAATGTGTATGGAACTAGTTCTGTCCCTCTGTTAGTCAGACCGCCGTCTCTCTGCTGGCTTTTAGGTTGGGGGCGGACATTTGCCTGCGCATTCGTGGAGGCGGCTGAAAGCTGTAGGGAGGGTTAGCATGGTGGTACTGCTGGTAGCCGCCGCCGTCTGTGTACATCATGCCATTGTAGTGGCACGGAGGGTGCTGATAGTGTGGTGGGGGGGTCTGCTGGTAGAAAGCCTGAGTGTGCCTCCTATTATTTTCAGGCGGCTGCAGAGACTCCATGGACCCGGAGGGCCGCTGGCGATGGTTAAAAGAGTTGCTGCGCCCCCGTTCCTGTGGCTGCTGCTGGTTCCTGTAGTTATGTCTATGACCCTGGATTAAACCTTTCTCTGAGTCTCTTCTACGCTGAACTGATGTGCTCGGCAGAGGAGGGGTGATGTTGACAACTGAGGCAGCCATCTTGTCTCTGGGCTCCACCGCTTCTTCAGTGGGGCCCTCTCCTTCTTCTTCCTGTACAGCTTCTTTGGGCACCTTTAGCTCAATGACTTGCTCGTCTGTAATGATGATATGAGTTCCTGGGCTCCAAGAGTTGCGGTGCTTGGGGTTACTTTTAAAGGGGAAGCGCAGCTTACGATCCTCTGGAGGTATAAAGCGGTGTGGCCCGGGATGCCGGCGGAGCTGCTTGGAGATCTCCTGCTGCTGAAGGCTTTTGAGGCGTAACTGCTCTTGGCGCATCCAGCGCATCTGACCTCGCTTTAAGGTGGAGTCATCTACTGCAGTTTGGGTTTTTTGTAAATCAACATCCTCTTCCTCTGGCTTTTCTTGCACAGGGGGTCTCCCTTCCCGAGGGCTTGGTGTCCTAGCCACGGCAGTGGGAGCTTCTGCACCGGGAGGTTTTTCTTGGCCCTCCGGAGTGATGAGAGGTAGAACCTTTTCCATTTTCACCATTTTATTTCTGAGAGCACGGATCTCCTCATCCTTCATATTATTCTGCTTCTTCACCTCCTGCAGGATGTCCTCGAGTTTATCAATGTGCACCTTTAGTTCATCCATCACTACTCCTCCAGGTCGGGGCAGGTTAGTGATGACGTCCTCGATGCGCTCATCACCAACCCCCACAGTGTCCCAAACATCCCGAGCCACGGCCCTCCACGAGTCCCGCTCGTTGGGGTCCTTCTTGCAGTAACTGGCACAAAGCTCCTTCATCTTCACGATAGCCAGAGCCTCAATCTCCTGCCGCGTGTGGCGGAAATCATTCAGCGCTACTTCATAACAGATTTCTTTCACTGCTTGGATCTTCAAGTCAGAGATGGTCACCCACTTGGAGTCCTTAGTGATGCGCCTTCTCTGGGGGATCTGGTACATTTTAACTGGCTCCCTTTTTTTCCCACTGCTAGGCAATCCACACTTTTTCACTATGGTTTGCAGCTTGCTGGGTGGTAGCTTTTCCCTCAGGGAAGTGATCAGCCTCCAGCTCTCTTCACAAGACCTCTTATCTGAGTCATCCCCACTATCAGAGTCTCCATCCTTGAGAAAACAACAAAAGGACAAAAACCAAAATGGTTCCCAAAAAAAGGAGAAATTACAACAGGAAATAAGGGAGAAGATGAAAGAATGGTTCAAAAAAAAGGAAAAAAAAAAAAGAATGACTAAAAAAGGTATTAATATGCAACACGAGAACCTACACCTACACAAGATATGAGTCAGAGTCTAATTAAGAGAATTATCCTGGATTTCAAGGACTTTTTTTGTCCCATAAAAAATTATATTGTAAACATCTGGCATTAAGGATGTCCTGATCCAAACCAAGTATTAGATTTAGGTTTTAAAAGATCAATATTTTTCACCTGACTGACCCCTACTCACACTGTGAATCACTTAAATCCTGGGTTGTAGGTCACATTTAGTGAATCTAAAGCTTTATCAACTATCTGTTTTTTTTTTCTTTCCCCAACCCTAACCAGTTCTGCACTACATGCTCTGGTTACATACAGCTTGTATCAGGCAGAGCTTAGCAAAAATTGTCCAAAGCAAATCACTAAGTTAAGAAAATGTTTCTAAAAGCTAAATGATCTAAAAGCTAATTAACAAACTTCTTTACACCAAATCCTTATTCATGAATTAAGATTCACATATTTACATATGAATACATACTTATTCACATACCTACTTAAAAGTAGGTATCTATGAAATAAAACTAGTCAAAAAACAGATGCTGTTGCTACCAGAACTCCAGTAAGTACATTGGAATAAATAACTGAGATTTTTTTTTGTTTTTTTGTGTTTTTCATCACAGCTGAGAAGTAGCAGACTGTAACTTAGCAAATGCCTAAAAACAACAACAAACCCAAATCAGGACATCCCTAGGTTGCATACATCGGAACTGTAAAAGATGTATGGCACCATGCAAAATCATCTCAGGAATTTCACTCAAAACAAAGACGGAAAAGAAATTTAAATGTAACAGTGGCTTCATTGACATTCTTCTGAGTTTATCCCCTTAGCTTTTACAGCTAAACGGTTACATTACTAGGAATTTATGCTCTTTAAACTAACTTCTCCCTGGAAGACAACTGTGTTCCTCATTGTTGCATATTAATAATAAAAGTAAAAGCATGTCTATAATGATTAGAAAGGAAATAACAGATGATAGTTGCTGGCTGGAGTACTTTCTCTAATGTTTTCTGTATTCCTCTTCTTAATAGAAAGTTTTACGATTTGACAGCTGGATCCCAAACATGCGACAGCGGCATGCATGTAGGTGGACTTTTAGAGCCTTAGTCCAGGAGGTTTGAGTGGCTTTAGTAGCGGTGAGTTAGAAGAAAGAGTGTTTTTGCAGTTGCTCAGAAAGTCAGTTGAGAAGACGAACAGAAGAGAGGGCAGGTGTTAATCCACTACAAAAAAGTTAGTTGGAAGAATAAAATGCAGTTTCTCATTTTTGTGGACAGCAAACATTACAGATCACAACCAGTCAGCACTGATGGTCAGTTTTTGTGTATGAGCTAATATCTGGAGCCAGAAATGGATATGTTATATCCCTGCTTGTATGAAACTTGAATTCTTGACGTTTTGCATATAAACACACCGGAATAATAGAAAAGTCTTAGTATCACGGATTGAATTATGAGCAGTGAGAACTCTGTGAAGCCGTACCCTCAATGCTCTATGCAAACAAAGAGAGGCAGCCAAAGAAGTCAATGAGAAACCACATTGTCACTATCTGTTCAAAAAAATAAAAACTACAGTGGGAATATTTTTGTTATCACAATGCATTGGATACGTCAGCAACTGCATTGAAGAGTTGAAACTCAGAACAAAAAAACCAGAGCGAGAAAACTAGAAGAGAAATCTAATCCAAGCAAATCCACAGCCACTCCAGAGGGTTGAACAGCTCAGCGGCAAACACTGCAACTTAGTCCAGAACCAGTAGGAGTTAAGAAAACATGCTAATAACATGAACCATGCAAAAGCAGCATCTTTTTCTTAAAAGATGGTTTTAGCACCAACAATTTTTTCATTTCTACAGCCAATTTGATTTATCTTCAAGTTGCTGTTTTGCAAGATTCAGATCCACTATTGGAAACATAAGAAAGGGAGGGAAAAGGAGTGGAAATTTCTGAGTCTTAATTTACTTTCTATAGAATAAAATTCAGTTAAACCCAGAAACAAAGACAAGTAAAAAGCTCATCTGTCTCAAACCAGAAAACTTCCATGCAAGAAGAAACAACATGCACCAGGAGTAGAAACGTGATTCATAAGTATCAGAGCTCAGAGTGACAATTAGTTTAATTCAGATGCCAATTTTAACCTTTTTTTTCTGGGACATTTCCTACTGCAACTAATCTTACAAAACCCTGGTTTTGAGTTTTCTATGTGAAAATACATTTCCCTCAACAATAACACAAAAAAACAATTCATCTAGAAGCTGCGCTTAATTTTAACAAACTAAGACAAAAAAACAGAACATCTCTCCTCTTAACCCAAATATGTACTATTTAGTCTCTATAAGGGTGACAAACTGATGTAAACTCACCAGTCGCTGCTGCTCCAGAAGCTGGTCTGCTTCTTCCTTCTCCTTTTTGTACAAGATTTCCATCTCAGTGAGCCTTAATAAATGCATAAAATATATGATTCATTTGACAATTTATAACCAAAAAATAAATAAAAATCACACAAAGATCAAATCAATCCAAACAGTAAATGGAGACCAGCTCCAATACCTTTTCTCCATTTCCTGCTTCATGTCGATGCCCTGTTTCTCCAGAAGTTCTCGCTGGGCAAACGTCCAGTCCACAGGCTCTACGGGGGTTTCAGCTGATGGAGTTTTCTCCCGTTCAGCTCGGGCCTGTTCTGGGTGGTTGAATCGGAACACGTGGTTCTTTCCCATTATGATGCGGTTGCCTAAAGATAGGTGAAGCACAAGTGTTTCAGGGAAAAGCAAAACAAAACATGGAATTGGAGGCATTGTCCATATTATGTGCTGTCTGGTACAATACTTGATAAACCGAAAAATTGTATTTGTAAGTATAAGGACTCAACTCAGTCGATCCTTATTTCTAATGATTAAAAAAATAAAGCAATTTTAATCTCTAATTTTCTCAACAATAAAAGCAATCAATAAGTACCTGAACGAAGCTGGATTGCTTCCTCAACACGTTTGCCGTTGACATAGGTTTCAGATCCCTCGCATGGCACCAACAGGACAATAACTTTACAAACAGAAAACCAAATACTTTTCAGATTCAAACTAAGAGGAAAAATAAAACAACAAAAAATAAAACAAGCTCATATAGAAGAATGGTTAAATGAAATCATTATAGCCAATTATAGCCTATTGTTTCCAACCTTTATCCATGAAACAGTTACTTTCACCATCAAATCACATTCAGTAGATTTTGTATTTATTTTAGGAACAGATCAGATCCTTCAAAACTTCAATTTATTATTTTGCATGTTGTGTTTTCCACCTCCTCAATGTTACATTTTAAATATTTGGTTGAGAAAAAAAAAATCATGGAGCTTAAGCACTTAAATATTTCCATCTCTATAATCAGTCTAAACCTTCACGGTAATAAATACAAACTTATTTAACAACATATAAATAAAAATGTCCCACCATCTCCGTTGGCATTCCTTTCGCTTCGAAAAATGCAGTGTTCTTCCTTTATGTGAGCTCCACTTAAAACAATGTCTTGCCTTCGCTCAGCATCGGCCTGACCCACTCTGAAAAAGACAGTCCATTTTGAAAGCCTAGCTCTGCCATTTCACTGCCAACAGTTTAAACATGTAATCTATGTAAAAAATAAAAGTGGAAACATTACTTAAGAGAGGTTAGATCTAAGTTCAATGTACTCAATGGTTGTCCACTAGCAGGGGTAAAATTGAACCCAATACTTCAATATGAACAGTCTAATAAAAAGACAAGGACAAAATGGTAACACAAGATAGAAAAAAAATGCAGTCACTGCCAGATTTTAGGCCTCATATTCTTCCAATTTCCCTCGCTAGACATAAAACTCAGAAAAATGAAACAGAACCTGTTCAAAATCTCTACAACATCTAGGTTTGGTTACCTTGTAATCCCATCTTTGATATAGTAGAGCAGACACTCAGACATTAGAGGGTCCTCGTTCAGGTTGACCAAATGTGGAGTCTGCAGATGAACAGAAAATTAATAAACACAAAAACCTTTCACAAGCTTTAGGGAGACCTTCTGAATTAGACAAGGATGCTGCTCTGACAGATGACACAAAAACAAAGAAGTGGTTTTCTAAAGTATTTGATTAATTACAAATGGACTTTAGGGGTTCCTATGGGCTACAAATCCAAACCAACCTTTTTAGGGGAAAACACCCCATTAAAGTCTGTATAGAGATCACAAGGCCTCTCTCTGAAATGCTACCCCAAGAAAAGAAGACAGTGAAAGAACAGATAGATGTCAATAAAGAAAATAGATATGAAGACAATTAAAAAAAAGGCAGAAAAAATGTAAAGGCATTGCCATTGGGGACTAACATTTCTCTAAAACACCAATGGAGGGGGGGAGGGGGGGTTCTTATAAATCCTAAGCTGTCAGAAAATAAAAATTTTGAATTAATGCCGACTTTCCTAAAAAGCAAATATAAACCTAATAAATATGCCACACTATGTCACTACTACTTTCAAAAGGATAATACAGTAAAAAACAAAAAGGGAAAGTCCAGTTAGAGTAACACTTTGGAAGCAATTGGTCTGAATCATCAGTGTGGAAGAGAGCAGCATTTTAGGTAATAAACCACCTTGGCTACTTACTAAAAACAAGTGTTTGGAAGCCAAGAAATACAGTATTAAACTAGCTTAGATACTATATTACTACTAATCAACCAGTAGTTGTAGGAACTAATCTAATGGAGGAAAGAGGCTTGATCTATTCATAAACTAAACAAACCTTCTTGGTAGAAAAGCAATCAAATTGCTCATCTAATGGACCATCATGGCTAAGCTGAGAGGGTGAAGAAAAAACAAAGTGGAAAGAATGACAGAATGACAAATGGGATTGTGAGAGAAGAGCCAATGGTGAGGGGAGGGATCTCTTGGGGGAAAAAAAGATAAGATGGAAAACAGAAGTAATGAAAGACGGGCAAATATCCACGCCCATGAGAGTTATGACACATTTGTCCGTCTATCAGTGTCCAAAACTTGTGTAACCCTCTCCTATTATTCTGAGACTTCCTCTACCTTTTTAGGAGAGAACACCCCCAAAGTGCCTCCATCTTCACGGATTGCCACGCCCATCTCTGCAAGCAGAGCCTCCCTGTGATGAGGACAAAACACATGCATAATGAGGAATAGCACTGCACACTTTAAAGGCTTTTCCAAACAATGTTTTATATTTGTTCTCCCCTACACCTTTGAAAAAGAAGCATTTGCTTGAATTTCACAACAAAAATCTGGAATGAAAACTATAGGAGGTGGACTAACAGTAATACTGGAAGTAAGGGATTGTTTTTCTGACTCAGAGGAGAGACAGCAGCATGACTGCAGCCACAGATGAGTGGATAAAGAGCAAAAAGGTACAGCAAGAGTGTTAGAGCAGCAGTGTGAGACGACCAAGGCAAGGAAAATGGACAGAATTGGTGCAGGGGAAAGCAAAAAAAAAAAAAAAAACAGTAAAGAGGAGTGAGGAGACAGTGGCAAGCCTAACAGGTTACAGTCTCAGATAACAAGCACTAAAGAGAAAAATCAACAGCCAAGCAGGTGGGAGACGCGTCATTTACAAATAGGGCATTTTGCTGCAGGCTCTCCAGGGAGACATCAAGAGAACTGCATTTAGCTTTACACACACTACAAATAACAACAACATCAGAAAAACTCTGTATTTCAAATAATAGAGTAACAGATGAAAGCAAAAAAAAGCGTTACAAGTGAGAAAAACAACAGCTGTCACATCCACATAAGAACACCAGCAGGAGGTGGGTTTAAACACTGGATTGTGTGTTTGGGAAAATAAGCACAAAACTGCCACAGCCTCCCATCTTCTGACGTCAGAAAAGGTGTGGGGGCAGCTTTCCAGAGCCATCAAACCATTCTCCGAAGAGCAGCATGGACAGACTATAAATCCCAATTAGCTTGTGATGGGGTGGATGCACATAGAGGACGAGCAACCCCCCCCTTCTAGCAGACGCATATGGAAATGAGAAAAAGCCATCTGATTATACTGACCTCTCCATTCGGATTGCTTCTGTCTTCCGTAGTTTCTCCTCCCAGGTTTCATTGAGCTCAGCAATGATCTTTTCTGACTCCTGAATACAAAACGGGAAACGTTAAAAAAATTGATTTAGCTGTATTTCGGTCAGGCCAACGTCTTTGCTTCTATTCCTCTATACTAAAGAGAAAAATCTTTGAATTGTTTAGGCTGAGATAAAATTTCTTCAATATTAAACAGAAAGAACTATTAAAATACTAGAACTTTGAACTCTTATGGCAAAGGAGGCCGTTTCATTTTACAGCAGATATTTAGCTTATCAATGAAACATGTGTTTAATATTTAATGAAGCAGACCACAGGCATAGAGTATAACAACAGGTTAGGGATGAGTTCTATTTATAAGTCAAACTTTATGATGCTTCCTTTAAAATAAGTACACATGATTCGCCTCACTGTGATCGCTACAAGCCCATAAGAGTTCAATCTATTTTTGTCTCATTTCCTCTGTATTTGCGTCGCCACTTGACGTCACTGGGATGACGGACGGATTGGGAACCATGGTTGTCATGGGAACTGCAGCTCGTGGAGCACTATGTTGTTGCCTTATCTACTGAGCGAGAGCTGTAGAGGAGCAATATGAAGTGCTGAGGACACACGCAGAGTTTTATCAGAGTGGGGGTTACAATTATACTTCTAGTAAGTATAGAAATTAAACCTCTGGTAAATGCATGATTTTTTTTTTTTAATTCAGTGCTTGTGGTATTAAAACTCTAATTTCATTTTCATTTAAAATTAGTCAAGCATCTTCGGAAACCTCCCCCCTTCCTGTCAGAGGGAGAACCAAGTGGGAGATGGGATACCTACATATTGCCTGGGACCACAGTTGTTACTATAATTACCTTGAGCCTTTCAATGGCCTCCTCTCCTCCAGGCGTAGACATGATGCGTTCCTGGATACTGGTGACTGATTGAAGACCCCCCTGGTTGCACAGTGCGCCAGAGGATGGAGAGGCTGTCAGGGAACCAATAGGGGCTGTGGAGAAATGGCCAGGGCGTTGGTTCTCTGAGGCTATCAAGTATCTATTCTTATTGTTCTGAATGTCTTTGAGGTCTGAGCCACCAACAAGAAGAGAGAGACAGACAGAAGGAGGGGAAGGCCCAGGATATAGGGTGGAGGGAGTAAACACATAAAATGGAAGAACCAAACATCAAAAAGGAAGAGAGGAAAACAGAGGGGAAAAGAAAGGACACAGGAGGGGAAAGACCAATGTAAGACACACTTTTTACATCAGAGGGTTAAGAAAAACAATCAGAATGCAGCTTAAACTATAGAAGGCAGCAGTTTTCACACCAGCAAAATAGACCAGATTTTAGAATGCAATTACATTCCTCATTTACAGGGCACTGCTTTAATATTTGGTTTGGATTAAAGACCCTGTGTGAAAACTGCTGTTAAGGTTTTAACTAAAGGACTGAAGTGAGATGGAGACCGCAACAAAGTGCAAAAACAGGACAAGAAACCGAGAGACATGCTGCCCAAGTCCAGCCCGCTCTTCTGGTGATGAATGAATTGTATTCATGCGCTTGCAGATCCAGAGACACAGCAAAGCTGCAGCTGCATCACTCAAAGGTTAATATGAAGACTGCAATCTTCATTTACGAGTGATTGCTTTCTGAGGGGAATGTAGGCTTTGTTAAAAACAGGAGCCTCACATTCAAGGAAACCAAGCATTACCAGACAGAAATCCCTGCTGTTTACATCTTCAACATTTTCTTTTTTTTTTTTTCCTCTGCAGTCTTTATATCTATACTGGCTTCAGTTTAAGTCCTCTAAGTATACTAAAAATATTAACACACTAGGGATGCATCTAACCATTTATAAATGCTTTATAACAGAATTTGCTTGTAGATAAGGCTAAACATTTTTGCAGACCAAGAAGGTTTTTAATCTTTAAAACGCATACGTTTTAAATGCACTTTCGGCATAATTACTCATGGATTGTTCCTAAACAGGACATTTATACTGTAGTCTGTACACTTAAATTGATTACTACATTGCTGCTTATTCAAATAATCATAATTAGTTGTTCAATTCCTTAATAATGAACAAAACTTTTCTTCCTATATTTTTTTTATAGAGGGATCAGTTATCTAATATACAATGGCTTTAGCTTGAGATGTTTTACAATCAAAAATATAAACAATTTTCTTTTTACCCCCCACACCATTAGCAGCTAGCCACTAACAGAGCTAATATTAGCGTAGCTGGCTTGCTGGAAACTACAGGGGCATTAATTATTAAAAGTTCATAAAACCTTTTTTTTTTAAGCAATTTAGAACAGCAATAGCTACCCTATCCATGGGCTTAACATTAAATCAGATTGGGATTAGTAAAGAGTTGAAATTGTATAGCTAAAACTCTCATTAGCTTAAGCTAAAATTGTTTAGCTTATATGCTACCTCAGAAATCATCTATAAGTTAATAGGATTTTCCGACAAAAGAACAAAAATTAGTATATTGTTATTACACTGAGAAATAAATGCCATCTTTAAGCACAAAGAGCAGGTAAGTGAATACTTCTGAAACTTACAGGGACTAGTGGGCAGTAATGTATAAGCAAAGGGTGCACTACAAAATTATCAAAACTATTAAAGCACACTATGTTAGTCAACTCCGTATACATACACACTCCTGAAGCCGCTACTTGCAAAATAAATGAATATATATATGCACCTTTTGATCTGTAGATCTGAGTCTCACTTTGAGAACTCAGAAGAGGCATTCTAAAGCATTGAGCACTGTCACCTGCGATGGATGATTAGTGAAAGAAAACAGGATAAAAAAGCAGCAAGAGCCACTGGCCACAAAAACAGAAGCTTCAGACAGTGAGTGAGACAAGATGAGACATGATTATACAATGATCCATGGGCTCTGGGGGTGGGGGAGACCGATGTAACACTATTCTTTTCTAAAGGTTGATTTTAAAAAAAAATAGTTGGATTGAAACCAGCCAGAAAAAAAGCTGCCTCACCCCCATCAGTCTAAAATTAACAGAAGAGCAAGCGCAAAGCATGCTAACCTAATTGCATGCTAACTCTTGCCAAAATCCACCTACAAAAGCCTTGCATTTCAGAGTCTTATTTCTTAAGCCATTCCTGGCTTTTAAGCAAATACATGCAAAGCTGGCAGAAGATTTAATATATGAGCAGTGGGGGTCCTAAGCAATTAGCCTTCAGAGTTTAAGCAGTAAAAATACACAAAGCATAACTAGCACACGTATACACACATTTGATTCCACTTCCTGGGTAATCATCCCCCATTGGATCAACTAAGGGGAGCAGGAAAAGATGAGAAGGATCAGAAGTCAGTGCTAGTAGTATGAGAGAGATAACTAAGAGAAATATCTCGGAGAGCTTAATATAAAAGATAACAAGGATGAGATACAAGGTCATAGACTGACTGGTTAAAGCGTCAAGTCACTCTGCATGACATTAGGAAACATCAGCAAGTAGGCAGCTTGTTAATCAGTTCAACTATTTGAACATATAGATTGCAACACTTGTAATTATGCATGCCAACACTGGTGGCTTTTTCTAATTGACAGGGAGGGGAGCCATTACTCTTGTATTTAGCTAATGAAGGGTGGCATTTCAATCTGGTTTACGTCGCGTCAGGCCCAGCAGTGGAAAGTATGTTCAATAAATTAGAGCTTGAATTGAAATAAAAATACTGAATATATAGAGAACAGAAAAACTAATATCTTATAAGAATATTTTGGATTACGGACATGTTCAGGAACTTGGATAGGAAGAAACTTAAATAGCATAGAGCTTTGAGGCAGTACTGATAAAGAAAGTTGGTGTCAGCTTAAAGAATGCCCTGACTGAACTGGCTGCACACTCACTGTCCAGGATGTCTCCAAGGCCCTGGGCGCGGAGCAGCTCCTTTAGTCGAGCCACTTCATCCTTCAGATCACGCACCAACTTGTTATTGGGATCCTCATTGATAACGGCGTTACATTTGATGTTCTTGGCTCGGTCAGCATAGCTATATATATTTAAAAAAAAAAACAGGCTTTTAGTCAGGCTTGAAATCATACACATGCTTTCATTTTGAGAAAATAAACCTCAAGACCTTACCGCAGTGTACTGAGGGTTTCATCATAGTTGATATCTGCAGGACTGAGGGCAGCTACCATGGCTGTTCTGGAGTTTCCACCTAGAAACAAGTAGGTCAGGAAGGATGACAATTTTTTATACTTTTGCATTACAGAATATCAACTTTATTCCCAAATGCAATATTTGCCTTTAACAAAACTGAATTAAGAAAACATACTGCATCAAGGAAGTGCTAAAGATATACTGCCTGCACTAATCCGAAGATAGAAGTATCCTCTCGTCTTGTTAGTTTGAAATACAGTCTGCTGACAGGGTTCTTCTTAAATTGGCTGAGGGTAATGCACACTTGCTCCAGTCATTTTTATACTGCTGCTTTATTTTCCATTACACAAATGGATCACTTACTATGCAAAAATAAATACCTCACTGAACACCTCAAAGATGGAGATTCAGTCAGACAAGCATATTTATCAAGTGTCATCAGGGTTCATACCGAGGTTTTCCCTCAGCAGCCAGGTCAGGACAGAGTCTCTGTAAGGGATGAAGTCTGTCTTTTTCTTTTTCTTGCTCTGCAAAGGAACAAAACTGCTCAATTGAATACTGCAACAAAATGATGCAAAGCTTTTGTTTTCAGCACTACAGGAAGAACCTGCTGTAAATGGTAATATAGGCAGAGAGATTTTCTTGGGGCCTGTAGGCGTAATTGTCCATATTACCTAAAAGCACGGTATAAAAGCTGATAAAATGGAGTCAACTTTAACACCTAGTACAGTAATGATTGAGTGCTTTAGCTGTCAAAGTGTTTACCTTGCTGGTACAGTTATCCTGTGTAAGCAGGCATTACAAGGACAAGAGGAGAGAAAACAGAAGGGCAGAAGTTACAGCATGCCAGGCTGCAAACAGCAAGCCTTTAAGTAGGCAGGGTCACGGTCAAGAGGGAAAGAAAGGATGTAAAGAAGGAAAGAAAAAGCAGGAAATGCAATCAGGCATAAGGGACTTACCACTTCAGCCAAGGCAGAGATGACCTTCCCTAAAGTAGTAAGAGATTTGTTGATGTTTGCTCCCTCCTGCAATCATATATCAAACATTAAATAAGATCAGATCATAGGCTTCTAATTGCAGAAAATGTGTGCAGATGAGCCCCCTACCTTTAGTCTGGTACCTTTAGCTCCAGTGGAATCTGCACGCTCACTTCCTGCCAAGTCTACCAGACTAATTTTACTGACCTAAGGAGAGAGAGCAAATCTATAAGATGCCCAGACCTTAAATAATAAATTGCATTTGCATTAAGGGAAGTTAAATGATATAAGAACAGCTGAAGACAAAGATGTCTCCAAATATTTTGATAATGAGGATCAACAAGAAATATACCTCTATTCTTCTTAGTTATTATCACATAATTAACACATGGTATTATTTTTCTTATTTACGTTACTTAGTCAGTGATGTCACGTTCAGAAACATATTATACATAACTTTAAAAGAAAAAGGATTGCTCTAATCTACCCCTGTTAGGTGTAATATACGCCTAAAAGTTCAAGTTGTTAATCAATTCTTCAATTTAACAACCACTCTAATATGCAAACATCCTTATCCTTAAAAATGTCCTTTAAATATTAAGATATTGCTCCAATAAAAATAGAACAGTACCTCAGTGAAAACCTAAAACATTCAAATCTATGCAGAAAAGAGCCAACAGTTATGCATTCATTTTAAGCGAGATATAGCCTGGCAGTAATAATTAAAAATAACAGACGAGAGTCACTGGAAACAATAGCCATTGTTTTCAAAATAAACTGTGATCTTTGTTTCTTCACAGCGTCAGAGGAAACGCTGGAAGTCGTATGTAAAATGGCTCTATTCCCCCACCTTCTCCATTCAGGACAAATTTAAACCATTTTCACAAATTCACAACAGTTTGGGACTTTTCTTAATTTCTTTTTTTTTCTCCCAAAAATTTATTTTTTGTCTAAACAAGATGTATCCCAATTTGCCACACTCTTTATTTTTTCAGTTGGATAGAAGTTAGCAAATAGAGAGACGTGTTAGCCTTTACTGAAGGTTCAAGGTTTTCTTGAAATTCCTCTTCTATTCAGCTCACCTGAAAGGATTTCAAAAGAGTTCAGCTCTATGGAGTGAAATGGCCATTTTGAAAGATCGCTTTTCATGTGGGGAATCCTTTCTTTTGTTTGTGGGAAAAATATTTTTATTGTCTTTCTGCTGGTAAACAATAGGATGATCCTAATTTCTCTAAATGTTAAGCAAAAATATCCTTTTATTTCATGATGCCATGCATGCTACCAAAGTTTGTGGTATTTTGGAGAGCAAAAAGGCCCACAGCATCACACATCCAATCAGCTTGGCCAGCTAATAGCATTCATTGGCTGGACTAATGGAATCATTCAACAGGTTAAATAATAGGATAACTATGGATGGTGAGGAAAACTTTTTCCTTTTTTTATTTTTTCATTTAAATAAGCTCTTAATGCAGCCAGTTATTGAATTCTTAAAGATGTATCCATCTCATTCGGGATGCGACAAAGTGCATCATGAAAATATTGCTCCACTGTAGTGAGATATTAACAGTTATGGTTAGAGAAAATAGCTTCGGCGTTATGGGTAATTCTGGCACACATGTAAACTTCCGCCTCCTGAGCTGTGGTCTGGTCTATTTTAGAGCCTTACCAGACTGACTTACATCCATGCAAGTCCGTCTGTCTAGCCAGGCTAATAATCGATAACATGAAATAGTGTGTAGCGGTTGATTTTTCAGGATAGCCCATTCTTCCTCTGTAGCGTAAATGCAGCTAGTGGGCCTCTAGCACACAAACAAAAATGGCTAATGCAGTTTTCAGCAAAAGAGCAGGACACATACTAGTAGATAGATTCAATTTCTTAACATCTCAACTGAAATCAATTAGAAAATCCTGCAAATGGAAGGTTCTATTTTTTTGGGAATGGCCCTGTTTGTCAGTTAAATCATTATACCTCGGGAAAAAAAGGTCTGATTTACTAATAATATCCTGGAAACTAAAAAACTTTAAATGTAAAGTAAATGTTTAAAGAGGCTTCAGTCACATTCCTTTTAGAGGGACCAACAACCTGACCTTTTCTGTGGTGAGGTCCGTCTCACTGTCATGTTTCTTCTGCGTGAAGACGATGGTAAAAACGGCATGAGACCTGCTGCTGGTCTCATTCATGTTTGTAGCAGCAACCGTTCTGTATAAAAGGCACACAGGAGCATAGGTAGTTAAACAACATTGTAAAATGGACATAATTTGATTTCCTACACACCTTTGTCCCAAACTAAATCATTGAAAAAATGCTGTATAAAATGTCTTGAGTGTTACGAGTACAATCAACCCAGGGTTTTACACCTATTAAGGTGAATCCAGTCCAAGGGATTAGTTTGTGCCGCGGAGGGGGATAATACTGAAAGGACGGCAGACAGAGTGTACGAGGCTCTCTCAGAGGGATGGCCATGGGGGAGACACTGGCTTTATACGCCACGTTCTAGAAATAAGCCCTCTGAGTCAGCACAGAGAGATTAAAGCAGGGTAGCTTTTCTAACACACAGCAAATCATCCTGGTATTTCATCTTCTCTTACTGTTTCATGTGCAAAATGAAACAGTGAAAAGAAATTAAACTGTTGATTCTATAATTACAGATGATAGAAATACACAAGTTCTTATCAATAATCAGCACAAAATTATTGTTCTCATAATCCTTGTTTGTTCTCTCTTCTTCAGCTCATTCATACCTAGAGATGACTGCTTGACTCACCTTGCTTTATTTCCTGCATCCATTAAATCAGCGATGTCTGTGTAGGATGTGACCGCTAGTTTGGACAGGTCCTCCACGTAGGGACCTAGCAGCGGATGCTCTCGTACCCTCAGGTTCCCTTTGTTCTTAGGATTGAGCAAATCTCTCACCCTTTCACAGTAGATCTCCATGTAACTCACCTGAAAATGATTTAAACAGCAAGTATAATTTATTGGTGGAAGCACACTTTTACAGCTCAGTGAATCTAACATATATTAGCAGCTCTTAAGGAATGCAGGTAGATAAGAGCAGAAGAGTCAATACATCATATTCCACCCTACCAGGAGACTCCAGCAGGTACAGTTTAATATGAAAGTTCAACCTGACAGACCAAAACTTATTTTCAATATCAGTAGGTTGCTTGAAAATTAAGTCAGTTATCAGTGGCTATTTTTTTAAAGGGAAACCTTTACTTTTAATATTAATTCTGGCAGCTGCTTTTAAACAGAGTCTGACTTCAGCAAATACCAGAATAAGACAAAGTTTCAGCTTTATTCCACTGAGGTGTCATCTATTAGCAGTGAAACATGCTGGATTCATCTCAAAGTTAAGGTACGGATGAACCTTCATGCAGAATTCAGAGGCTGCTGTTTACTGCTAGTAATGCTAAGCAAACTAATCGCTAATTGTCAGCTGTTTTGAAACTTTAATTTGAAAAACAGGAGTAAAAAAAGTAAAGTGTAGGATTGTAGGATTGCAAAAAAAGAATAAGAAAAATATTTGGAAAAAAAATGTCCAGATACTGGAAATCTGTCCAAAACCAGATCAATGCATTGCTAAAATAAAGCCTAAGGACAAGCATATATGAAGCTTGTCTTCATCTGTTTGATATATGACATATATCAATGGTCACTGAAGAGTTATTAGAAGAAACATAACATTTTAACATTAAGGATTTCTAATGGCAGTCTCCCTGTATAAAATATACCTCTACTGAGTAGGAGAGCTCCTCTTTGTTGCAGTCTTCATTGATTTTCTCAAACAGATCTTCACAAAGCTGAAAAGCAAAGAAAAAAGACGATTTTGGTTCCATATTCATAAAGAGACAAACACAGCAAAAAAAAGAGCCAATGTTGCTTATCAAGCCAGTCATGTAAAATCTATCCTATTACGTAACAATTAAACTAGAGGCTTCATAAATATTAACTTTTTTTTTTCAAATTGCGGGGCTGTTTTTATATTATAAAATGACTCATTTATTATTTAAAAAGCTCTTATGGTTAATTCATTTTAAAAAAATGCAGAAAGAATTTAACAGGTTGAGAAAAAAGTAGAGTGTGGAGCAGCAGAAATAGATAAGAATATCCATATCCATAGAGTAACATAAAAGTAACATAAATGCCTTAAGGCTGTGTTAATAATAACCCATTACAGTTAGAAGACATGTCATTTGTTTTCTAGAGGTACAAAACTGCTTAACTCCCCATGAAGCAACAGATTTTCAACAGTGAATCATACAAACCATGGGAATGATTCCTTCCTGTCCCTCCTCCTGTTTGCCCATCATAGTGTAGGATTTGCCAGCTCCAGTCTGGCCGTAAGCAAATATGCAGACGTTGTAGCCCTCAAAGGCATGCTCCAGCATTTCCTTCCCAATGTCCTTGTACACACGGTTCTGTGATGCAAAGCAGGGGTCCTCTGGCTGTCGGACGAGAAAACAGTTATTAGGATATGCAAGCGTGGTTTCTAAGGCCAACCATGAATTCTAAATATAAAGTTTCGGAAGGTCTACTCACCGTGGTGTGTGACCAGTAGGAGTAATCAAAACTAAATGTTTTTGGAGGTTCTTTGGGGGCTTTGGGATTGAGGATAGCTGTGGAGAAAGTGTGGAAAGTAAGATATTAGTTTAAAACATCAACAACAGTTTAGGCAGCAAAACACAATGAGGGAAAAAAAAAACTTTCGTAAAATGTGTGATCAGCAAAAATAAAGACATTTCACACAATGCATTCAAATGTTGAATTAATGTAGATCAGATGACAGTATGTTCACCTCTTTACCCTTAAAGATTAAATGATACATGCAAGTGATATGAATTAATACACCAGTTTACTGCTTATTTTTTGTTAGTTTCAAAACTGAACAGTTTAATATTTTTGTTTTTAGTCTGAACCTTTAGGTCAGAGCTCAAATGAAGGGCAGAAAAACGCTGAGGCAGAAAAGCCTGATCAGGAAATGTCTAAAATTTCATCCAGTGCTAATTTTAAGGCCTGTTGGCAAAAACCAGTCAACTTGCAGTTTTTGAATCACAAGAAACAAGAATGATATCTTTGGACCTGAAAGTCACGAGTCAGTGACACATTACATCCATTTCCCCCCTTTTTCAGAGAACTTAAAATGTTCTGGGTATAACCAAGGCCCTGGCCTTTCATCTCTAAACAGGCCTGAAAACAAACAAACAAAATAAGGATTGGGTCTGGTACCATTATGCAACATCTTCTACAACATTTCACCTGCTTTAAATGTGCTGACAGCGGATCCACACAGCCAAGCTGATCGCTGGGGTCAAACATTTCTTTATGAGAAAGAATCTGCTGCTATGCCTGGTATTTCATCACGCCATCCAGGCTGACTGGTACCAACAGAACAAATGTCCTAGCTCTAAGAGTGTAAGTTTGACGTAAACACAGATGGAGACTCGTTTGTAGGATATTTAAAGAAATAACCCAAACTGTTATCATCAGAAGTACCGATGTACAGTAAAGCTGCATATGCTGATCAAGTCTGTTGCAGCAGCTCCACAGCTGTAATTATCTTTGTTATATTTAATTGTGTTCCGTAATGATGGGCAAATTCAAGCCGCTTTTGCTCCTTCACATCAGGCTGCTTGAGAGGCTTTTGCATCAAAATGTCGCCTGCAGAGTGCCCGACATGCTCAGAGAATTTCAGCACACTTATCAATAATGCAGGAGAAGAGGAGAGACAGGGATTGCATATCGCCCTCCATGGGTCACATCATGCTGACAGAGAGGCACTGCATGTCCTCTGAACTGCTTTGCACTCAAAGTGTGATCATTATACAAACATCTCTACTGCACCTCAACAAGCCATCTTCGAGTTAAAACAATGCATTTGCTTCTATGCCCTGCAGACTTCAGGTTGAGGTGCATGGCGGCTGCTTCCATATTGGGTACTGGAAGAGGATACAGAGAGATGGGTGGCTATATAAAGCCCATTTTCACCTCTGACCTGCCTCTGGAGAGAAACTGGAGAGTCGGCGTGAAGAAATCAAGGGGGGGAGGTCAGGTTACTGATGACCCTATTACCCTCTTCCTGGAACAATTTAAAGTACTATTAATGAGCGGGCATCCTGGCACTGCAATACAAACCACTAGATATTGGGACTTTAGTGACAGCCGGATGGTGAAACCACACGGTAGGATATAACTCCATTCCAGCAGGACAAAGCATTTGCTGACCGCTGGCTCGGTCAAGTTCCTTAATAACATTTTATAAAAGGGTGATTTTTGTAATAAATTTATAAAAAAATAAAATAAAAATTAGAATAGTTGCAGGAGGACTTTGTTTTAACAAGAAATCATCCTTGTGAGGCTAGATTGTAGCATCCAATCATTTAAGAGGAAGTGAGGCAAAGGCCTAGAGTCTAAAAGAAAATTAAAACAACCGCATAATTTGCGGTTGTTTTAATTTTTGGCAATGTTCTTTCACATCATTCCACACCACCAGCAGGTAGGTATATATTCTATAGCTCACAGTGGAACCAGGATGCCACCAGCCTTTGAGGGAATGAAGCCAGGGGTCCGCGGTAAACACCATTACATTTCAGTTACACTCCGAGCATGAGATGGAAGAAGCATTTTTGCTGCCTCATAAACAACGTCATAAATCTGTTCCTCTCAGCCATGGCAACAGGTATAGGATCAGACTCTGGTTGCCATAACAACTTCAACTTGGCAAAGAAGGGGGGAGAGGATGCAGCACGCTGTGTTCCCTTTTTCTCTCTTCTCTCAAGCATTCCTTATCACCAATCGCAGGAAAATGATTTAAATGCGGATTTATGAACAATTACCATATATTCTAGCTTTGATTTCAGGCTTATAGCCATTTTAACACTCTAAACATATGCGAAAGCTTGTTCTGAAAAGCTGCAGGATTTGTAGCTAAGACATTAAGCCACTTATAAGGTCAGATCCCATAAGTAATAGGAAATTTCATGAATCCAAAGCTTTGTTAAAGCTTTTAGAAATCGTATTATAACAAAATCACTAATAAAAACAAAAGTTTCCAGGTGCAAATCCCTGAATTGCATCGTTTACTTCTTACAAGTCTGCACAACTCATTGTTTTTTTAATAACTTTAGCAAATCCGGGTATAAGGAACTAAAATTGAAACATATTTTATTCCAGGCTAAAAAAAAATATATCCAGGTTATGAGAGGAAAAGCTACAGAGAGCCAATATAAGCCACAAGAAAAGTTATTTTTCCCTTGGATAGAACCTGCGCTGCATCAATAGATCCTGTTCAAAATTGGGAGTGGGAATACGTGGAACACTCCACAGGAGCTCTCCATTTGAAGGCAAGGTAGGTAGCAGTTAACTAACCACATCCTGCCATCCAGACAGCATCACTCAGCTGGTTATAGCTGGCAGACATTTTCTGCTACAGCGAACAACATGGGGTCTTATAATCCAAGTAGGAAAGCTTAAAAAAACACCTCCCTAATTAGCTGTTAGGAGGTCTCCGAGCAGCAGATGGGGACTAAAAGCTTTCCCCTTTCACCTGAGATGGACAGACAGAGTCTAAAATGGCTGAACACATCAACCCCTCTTAGCTAGTAAACCTCTAGAGAACTAATAGCTGTTCATTCAAGCTGATCAATGGCAATTTAGACTCGCAAGAAGCAGAGGATGATGGCAGGAAATGAATGCATGTATGAAACTTTGAAAGGAAAAGGAACTAACTTGCTAAAGGGTGAACCATCAGAGGAAAAAAAACAAAACAAAACCCAAGAAGGATGCAGGCACTGAAAGCTCCTAGTAGATTATTCAGTTTCAGGACATGCGCAGCTCGTTGAGGTTCAGATCAAAATAAAAGCTTGCTACTCTACTCTTAAATACAACAGATCACTAAATTTAAAGCCCAACTGCAGCTACCACTGAGGGAGGCCCAAACAATGACCGTTCTCCTGTCCGTCACACAGGGACACATGAGACAACCACATATGTTTAATCCTGTAATTAAGCTACCATCCGTATTTAATCAACATTCATGCTTTTGTATTCTGAATAGAAGGTAAGCAGTTATTTTGTTTTCATTTTTCACACATACTGCCAACAATATAGCACACTTTATTAAAGCAGGGGGGACATTTCAGAGCTGACAAGAAGGGTGTAGCATTAAGTGGGGGATTGGCAGCTGGTGTTACTTTATGCTCCCCATTGAAAATGCAAATAAACAACAAAGTTTCTTCCACATTTTATTGGATTAACTTTAAATCGCAAGAATGGTTTGATGTCACTTTTTAAAAGCCTGAAGAATCTTAATAATATCACTAACCAGACATTTTCTACTACTGACAGCCATATTGAAAACACATAATCTTATTGTATAGATGGTATAAAGTTGTTTCACCTTGATATCGGAGAATTTTAAGTTTTCAGTTTTCTCCACCCGCAGATTAATCAATAACTACCGCACTACTGAAAATAGATACAGCTTTTCCTCTTGTTGTTATTTAAGATTATCATTATCACTCTTTTACTAATGGGTAATACATGAGTCATGTTTTTGTGTTCTCATTTCCTGTTGTTCTTAGGAACAAATATTCAGCACCATATTAGAGCTGCATGCCATTTCTCAAATACAGCTTCATAACCAGCTTGCCTGCGTCAGTTTCATGACCGTTGAAGCAGAGCAGCTGTCGACATTAGCCAAGCAGAACCACAGTCCCTCTAACCTGGTTATTCAGTCTTTAACGGGAAGTGCATGGCTGGGTTGCAGAGGATTCTGAGGCGAACACAGAAATCTTCCTCATGTTTTCAGATGTTTATGGCAGACTTTGTGCATGTGTATGATGACTGTTACCAGGGCAGCGGCGCAGGTGACAGAGTTATCACTGGATGCAGGGCTAAAAGTAGCGTCTGAGCACTGCCTCGCACATTTGACAAACAGCTGAGCTTGCTGCAACCACACAACAAGCCATACAACATCTCCAAAACAGAAACCAACATGCCCTGAGGAATTTCATCTGTGGTGAGAATACTATTGTATAAATGCAGGAACTTTCCAGAGGGGTTTGCCTCAAAGAAAGCTTGCCCTTTAAAGTAATCTGTCCAGGAATCTTAAGCATTCAACTGTTGAAACAATTATAATTTTAGAGATACCAGAAACACTAAAGGATGTAAAAAAAAAAAAAAACAAAAGTATTTACTCGGAAGGATGAATATTTCGCATTGCTCTTCCTACTGGCTGCATTGAATGCAGCGGACCACATGGTCTGCAAAAACATTATGGCTGTGCCCTTTCCCCTTTTTAACAATGACTGTGGCTGTGTTCGCATTCAGCGGCAGTGTCCTGCGAAGGCCAGATTCGCTGGCCTATTACATCATAGCACGGCACCATGGCCTTTTCAGATTGGAAGACTCCTTCGTATGCAGCCCACAAATGCAGCCATCTTTTCACCCTTTTGGAAGGACTGGTCCACTGTTTCCCTCATAGCAAGCAAGCTGGCCACTCTGTGCTCAGAGGAAAAAGGGAAATGGCGACAAAGAGTGGTGAATATTATAAGTACAGATTAATATAATACAAGTATGTGAATATTTTTGTCCTGAATAAATGGAAATAGTTCCTCTA